AACAAATGCCAAATGTCTTCTTTGATATAAGGAGAGTAACTAAGAACAGAGTAGGGACGAAGAGCATGAGAAGAAGATTAACATTAAACTGGGATGAGAGGTGGGAGGGAAAGGGAGAGAGAAGGGAAATTGCATGGAAATGGAAGGAGACCCTCAGGGTTATACAAAAGTACATACAAGAGGAAATGAGGGGAAAGGGGAAAATAATACAAGGGGGAGAAATGAATGGCAGTAGAGGGGGTAGAGAGAGAAGAGGGGAAGGGAGGGGAGGGGGGATAAGAGGATAGGAAAGGCAGCAGAACACAACAGACACTAGTATGGCAATATGTAAATCAATGGATGTGTAACTGATGTGATTCTGCAATCTGTATATGGGGTAAAAATGGGAATTCATAACCCACTTGAATCAAAGTGTGAAATATGATATATCAAGAACTATGTAATGTTTTGAACAACCAACAATAAAAAATTAAAAAAATAGAATTGCTTTATTCTTTTAAAAAAGCCATGTAATTGACAAACATTTATTAGGTACCTACTGTGTGTCAGACTCTGGGTTAAAAACTGAGTACCCGTAGATGATGAGAAAAAACAAGGTCAAAACTTCTAGGAGCTTACATGCTTGTTTTGGATTCAAATATAAAGATATGAAGCAATACCTAAACGTGATAAAACCCATTTATAATAACCCAGAAGCTAATGTACTGAGTGGGGAAAGCTGAAAGCTTTCTTTCTAAGATCTGGAACTAGACAAGGATGCCCACTTTCACCACTTTTATTTAACATAGTGCTGTAAGACCTAGCCAGAGCTGTTAAGTCAAGAGAAGGAAATTAATGCATCCAAATTGGAAAAGAAGAAGTCAAACTGTGACTGTTTGCAGATGGCATGGTCTTAAATATAGAAAACCTCAAAGACTCCACCCAAAACAAAACAAAACAAAAAACAATTAGAACAAATGATTTCAATAAAACTGCAGGATTAAAAAAAACAATATACAAAAGTAGTTTTACTATTCCAATTATGAACTATTGAAACAGAAATAAAGAAAGGAATCCATTTATAATAGCTACAAAAATACCTAGGAATAAATTTAACCAAAGAGGTGAAAGATGTCTACAATGAAAATTACAAAACATTTATGAGTTTCTTAAGAGAACACAAAAAAGTGAAAAGACATACTGTGTTTATGGATTAGAATAATCCAATGCACTGTTGATGGGAATATGAATTAGTACAGCCATTATGGAAAAGAGTTCATTTCATCACAAAATGGAAACCAGAACTACTTTATGGTCCTGCAATTCCACTCCTGGATATATATCCAAAGGAAATGAAATCAGTATGTCAAGGAGATACCTGTAATGCTATGTTCATTACAGCACTATGGATAATAGCCAAGAATGGAAACAGACTAATCTTTTCTTGTAGTTCATATATAAATATTTGAATGTTTTCACCATTAAGAAATGATAAATGTTCAAGGAGATAAGTATATTTACCAGGACTGAATCATTTTACATGTATACATGCATCAAAATATCACATAGTACCCTGTAAATGTGTAGAATTTTATGTATCAATTTAAATAATTTTAAAAAGTCTAATGTCATTTTTTATAGAAATAGAGAAAGCAATTCTAAAATTCAGTTAAACCCTTGACTAATCACAAAAACTTTGAAGAGTTAAGGCAATAATGAACAAAAAGAACAAAGCTGCAGGCATCACACAACCTGATTTCAAGCTATACTACAAATGATAGTCACTGAGACAGCAATGTACTAGCATAAAAATAAACTCATCCATCAAAGGAACAGAGTAGGAAGCTTAGAGAGGAACCCATGCACTTACATAAGTAAATGCACATGGTCCATAAAGGTGCTAAGTGTACACACTGAGAAAAGGACAATCTCTTCAATAAATGTGCTGGAAAACTGGATATCCCTATGCAAGGGAATGAGACTTGACCTTTATCTCACTCCATGTACAATAATCAATGCAAGGGGCTGGGGTTGTGGCTCAGTGGTTGAGTACTTGCCTTGCATGTGTAAAGCACTGGGTTCAATCCTCAGCACAACAGAAACAAAATGAATAAGTGGAATAAAGATATTGTGTCCATCTACATTAAAAATATTTAAAAAATAAATGCAAAATGAATTAAAGACTTCAATATAAGACCCCAAACCATAAAATGACTATAAGGAAAATATAGGTGGAAAACTACTCAACATTGGTCTGGGCAGTGATTTTTTAAATCTTTAAAAACTTCAAGGGCTGGGGACATAGCTCAGTTGGGTATAGTTCCTGCCTTGAATGCATAAGGCTCTGGGTTCAATCCCAGCACAACACACACACACACACGTAACTATAACCTCCAAAGCTCAGAAAACAAAACAAAAATAGACAATTACATATAATTCAGCTCCAACAAAGAATGATTGAATTTGTTCAAATGAGAGGATATTTTTTTTTAAAAGTAATAATCCTCTTTTTTTTCACGTTCAAGTTTTTTTTTTTTAATTATCACTTTTCGTTTTGGATATTTTTTTAAAAATGTTTCCTTTCAGACCAGAAAAACCTGATTATTTGGATTGTGATTTTAGCTCTTTAAACACGCACTAAATTTAGGGAAAAAAAGAACAAATAATTTGATGGCATTACATAACAATAAAAATCTTTTTCACAGTGAAGGAAACAATCAACAGAATGAAGATTTAACCTATGAAGAGAAAATATTCACAATCCATACATCTAATAAGGTTAATATCCAAAAATATAAGGAACTCAAGCAACTAAATGAAAGAAACCAAATAATCCAATTAAAAGATGAACAAGGTATCTGAGGAGACTTTTCTCTAAAGAACACATACACATTACCAACAAATATATGGAAAAACACTCAACATCTATAATTATTAGAACCACAGAGATATTTCACCTTATATCTGTAAGAATGTCTATTATCAAAAAAGACAAAAGATAAGCATTGGCAAATATATCAAGAAAATGGAATCCTTGCTCATTGGGCATTGAATTAACACAACCTTTGTGGGAAAATGTGTGGAAGTTCCTCAGAAAACCAAAATTAGAGTTACTATATGATCCAGCAGTCTCATTTCTGGGTATATACACAAAAGATTTAAAATAAGTATGTTGAAGATACATTCCCAAATCCATTGCAGCATAATTTATAATAGTCTTTTTATAGAATCGACTTAGATGTCTGTCATCAGATGAATGGATAAAGAAAAGGTGGATTACAATGCAGTTTTAAAATGCAGTAGTTTCTTTTTTATTTGTGATAATATGGAAGGAATTGAAAAACATGTTAGGTCCAATAAAGCACAGAACAAATACTGCATATTCTCACCTGTGTGTGGAATCGAAAATATTGCAACTCAAAGAAGTAGAGAGTACAATGGTAGTTATCAAGGACTAAGAGGATGGAGAAGAAATGGGCAGATGATGGTCAAAGGGTACAGAGCCTTAATTAGATAGGAGCAATAAGTGTTTTCTTTTGAGACAGTGTATGCAGTGCAGTGAGTATAGTAATAATGTATCAAACATTTAAAAATTGCTAAAAGGATAATTTTTTTTTTTATTTTTAATTTTTGGGTACTGGGGATTGAACTCAGGAACACTCAACCACTGAGCCACATCTTCAGTCCTATTTTGTATTTCACTTAGAATAAGAGGATAAATTTCAAATGTTCTCACCACAAAAATAAGTATTTAAAATGATGGATATTTTAATTATCTCAATTTAAATATTCAACATTGTATTCATTAATCATAGCATCAGTTTGTATCCCATAAATACATACAACAATAATTGAAAAAAAAGTTCTTACTATGGTTTAAAAAGTCCTACAAAACTTGACCACCTGTCCACTTTGTAACTTCTGTTCAATACCCCTCCTATTAATCTTTCTACTTAAGCAAACCAACTTCCTTGCTGATGCCTGAACAAAATCCCACCTCAGGATCTTAAGGGACGCTTGCCTCCCTCTGCTTGGCATGCTGTCTCTTCAGCTGTCTACATGGCTCTCTCCATGGTGTCCTTTATCCTTTTGCGTAAATGTTATCTTCTCAGGGTACCCTTTCTTGATCATTCTATTAAACATTTCTGCTATTTCTCCCACATTTCTTGTTCTCTTTCCCCTTTCTGCAAAGCACTTAGAACTCTCTGACATGCTATATATTTTACTTACATTTTTATTAGCCATCTATCCTCTAGTAGAATGTAAACTCCATTAGGTAGTGTTTTTTTGACCATTTGTTTTCATAACATATCTTTAGTCTCTCTAGAAAAACACTTAGAACATAGTAGGTACTCAATTATTATTTATTGAATCACCATTACACATAAAGCCACTTTCAAAAGCATGAAACTTTCAGCCTTTCCTAGACTGGAAGCCTATCTACCATAAAGAGCCAAGGGACAAGAAATTGTTAAATCCTTTAGCTCTGCATCTATTAGGCACTCAATTTTGATTCCTTATTTACTTTTTTTTTTTGTACCAGAGATTGAACCCAGTGGCGCTTAACCACTGAGCCACATCTCTAGCCTCCTCCTCCTTTTTTTTAATGTTTTATTCTGAGGGTCTTGCTAAGTTGTTTAGAAGGTATTGGCTGTCTTAAATATGCCTTAAGTATACCAACGATGCTTCAGCTAGGATTACTGCCCTCTACCTTTTGCCACAAACCCCTAATAATCCAAACTAAAACAGTATAAGAAAGATGGATAAAATGTCCTCATATATCATCTGCTACAGTTACCCAACTTGAAAATGTGGTTGTTACATCTGGAATGTAATAAGACTCCAATGTGGTTTAGCTCTGTCAGGTTAGTTGTGGAGTAAAACAATGAGGGACTCTTTCGAGAAGACATCTTCTCAGTGTGTATTGAGAAATGGTTGCAGAAAATCAAGTCTTCTTAACTCATCTTTTGTGTCTGGTCAGTGGTTTGCTTGGTCTCACATAGATTGATTTTGCTTTATGCTTATTGTATCCTCAGGACTTTCTTCAGCGCAGCCTTCATCTCCTTGTTTCGTAAACTGTAAATCAGAGGGTTTAAGAAGGGAGTCACCACCGAATAAAACAAAGTCATGATCTTCTGCATTGCAGCTGGGTTATTGGCTGTGGGGCTCACATACATTGCCAGGAGGGCTCCAAAAAATAAACACACCACCGTCAGATGTGATCCGCAGGTAGAAAAGGCTTTCCGCCGGCCAGCTGCTGACGGGACTTTTAAAACAGCTATCAGTAAAAGAGTGTAGGAGCCCAGGATGTACAGAAGGGTGAGGATGATAATGAGGGAGCTCAGGGTATAGAAAACAATCTCAGTGATAGAAGCTGGGGCACAAGACAGAGCTATCAGAGGGTCCATGTCACATATAAAGTGATCAATGATGTTGGATCCACAGAAAGACAATTGAGAGAGTTGCACAGTGGAGACAGAGTAACTGAGGAACCCAAACACCCAGCACAGAGAAATCAAAATATAGCACAGGCGTGGGGTCATGATGGTTGGGTAGTGCAATGGACGGCAAATAGCCAGGTAGCGATCATATGCCATGATGCAGAGGAAGTATGTTTCGGTTGTACCCAGGGAAGTAAAAAAGTAGAACTGGAGGAAACAGCCAACAGAAGAGATAGATTTTGTCTCTGAGAGGAAATTGACCAACATATTGGGCACAGTGGAAGTGATGTAGCAGATTTCAAGGAAAGCAAAGTTCGCTAGCAGAATGTACATCGGGGTATGGAGCCGTCTGTCCAGGCTCACTGCGTAGACGATGGTCCCATTTCCCATTATGGTAAATACATAGACCCCAAAGAACAGCGAAAAGAGGAAACTCTTCATCTCCTGGCATCCAGGGAAGCCGAGGAGGACAAACGTGGTCACAGTGCTTGTCTTTGAATCGTTCATGAATCCAAGAGCTGCAGAGAAGATCAAAAACACCATTATACCATCTTGGAGGAAACCTATTATCAAGATACATCTGTTGGCTATTTGGCAATTACTTTGGAATAATGCGTCCATTGTTTCCTAGCTCTTATTTAAAAGCAACCAATTAATTAACGTTCCCAATGAACCCAAATTTCAGTAAGTCTAGATTCAAAACAATAGAATCTTTATATTATTTGGGGTTTTGTTTTCAATGAATGAGATTTAAAAAGATCCCTTCTTCCCTCTGAAATTTTGAAAACTCAGAAGTATATGAAAGGCTGAAGAGTGCTTCCAGTTTGCAAGCCCCCCTGGTTAATTTCCAATTAATTGTAGATGGACACACAATATCTTTGTTTATTAATTTATTTTTTATGTGGTGCTGAAGTTTGAACCCAATGCCTCACACCTGCAAGGCAAGTGCTCTGCCACTGAGCCACATCCCCAGCTCCAACCCCAACACATTTTTTTTTTAAATAAACAGCGGTGAATTGGCATAACTACTTTTTTGGGGGACATCTCTCCACATGTGGAAGGTACTTGGTATAATTCTTAGGTACTCTAGGGCTGTGAATGTCCATTACATACTCTGAGTTGTTCATATCAGAATAATTTTCTTTCATGGTATATTAATAACCTGTAAGTCTCAACACAGAAACTAGGCGGAAGTTCAGAACAATATTCTGCTAGAGAGCATGGAGTTACTAGTTACCTTAGAATATGCCTTCATACTTTTATTTTAAGCTAATTTATCAATAGAATCTCTATTACCTTTAAATAAAAAACAGCATTTTATATCATTTTACCATGAATGTTTTATTGAGATAAATGACTTGTTTCAAAATATATTGTTCCACTACAAAACTTCAGTCCTATGCTATCTACATATTACAGATGACAGTTCTGCCATTTGACTGCTATTCCAACTGCTGCAGGAAATTTGGAATCTGTATAAATTTGTAAGGTCAGTTATTAGAAGTCCAATGGACAAAAAGCAAATATAACAGAGCTCTAAATGTTGCTAAAGATTGCTGAACAGAAATGATATTTTCTTTCACTTTGATGTTACACAATATATATATATTTAATAGACATATAAAATATTCAATAAACCTGAATAAACAAGGACATTTATTAACATCACATTATTCAGCACATTTCAAATAATTTAAAATGCTACTTATGTTTTGTTATTTAAATGTATTAATATTACAATGTTAAAAATTACTTAAAATAAAATTTTATAATTAATATTAAAATATATATACAAATAAAAAATAAAATAATCCCACATCTAAAAGAAAATAAATTTTAACTCTACTGCATTCATCTTTTCTTTGAAAGTTAAAATGGTTTTTCAAAATGCATTGCTTTATAACCTGCTTTTAAACATATTATAATATTTTAGTTTTTTTATATTTTGAAAATATATCTCTATATGATCAATTCAATAGCTGCATCACCTTCTAGACTACAGATTTAATCCACACCTGAGATTGTTGCTGGTTTTCTTTCACAATCACCACTATAATTATCATTCTTTCATATACATCATAGTACATTTGACTCATAAAGTGAGCTTACAGTGATTTTAAAAAATTAGTAATTAGAGCAATGAATATAGAGTGCTTTCATTTTTAGAGATAAAGATTTTGGCTATTTTTTTGATGTCTACCATATATTGAAGTAATCAAGGCAAAACCAGATTACATATAAGATAAATTCCATTTAATAATTCCATAGCATATTAAGTATTTATTTACAGGTACATATATGCTATAATGATCAAATCATGGGTTTATGTGTTTCCATTTGGATTGAAAACTTCCATAATTTATAAGTAATGTACTTATTTTGATATTCTCAGATGATTCAGTTTTGGTGCACAGTAGATACTTGAATGAATTAATGGTTGAAGAAATTACAAATTTGTTAATCCTCTAACAAAACACTCATTTATTCAATTTATGAATGTCACTGAGTCCCCAATCTAAACATCACTAGGCAGAGTCTTGTGTCACTCTGACCAAATTTACAAATTTGGCTATATTTAGCATTATTTTTGGCTTATTTATTATTATATTTGGCTTATTTCCCATTAATCTCAACTTGTCTTGTATCTTTCTCTAGTCAGGTATCCTCCTAGGTTTTCAAACCTATAATCACCATTTTGCTCAGAAGTTCCTATTCTGTCTTTTCTTTGTAAGGTCTCCTCCTTCTTTATATTAGATTCTTGGTGAATAGTTACACTTTCCTTCACTATCCATTTAGCATTTGCTAAAGCCAGAGACCTGAAAGTCATTCAAGGTACCTTCTTAATTCTGTCACCTCTCATATACAATCAGTCACCAAATCCTGTTGATTTTTTCTCTCAAAATATTTCAAATCAGGCCAGGAAAGGTGGCACTTGCTTATAATCATAGTGACTCAGGAGACTGAGGCAGGTGGATTACAAGTTCAAAGCCAGTCTCAGTAACTTAGTGAGGCCCTAAGCAACTCAGCAAGAACTTGTTTCAAAATAAAAAGTCTGAGAATGTGATTCAATGGTTAAACATCCTGAGTTTCATCTCTAGTACAAAAAAAAAAAAAGAGAAAGAGAGAAGAAAGAAAAGAAAAAGATTTTGAATATGATCTGAGCACATAGGAGATCTTTGTGAATGCTGGAGATTGTAATGTAAATATTTGATAGTCCAATCATGGAATGGAATAGCTACAAATATGACCCAGAAAGAAAAATGGATTTCTCCTAAGGAAGGACTAGATATGTTGCTTTAGAAGAAAAGTATACAGCTGATGAGAAAGGAAGAGTTCCAATGTATCACACACCAAAGCTACAGGCAGCACTCTTGAGTGACAGATTTATCTTACTGACCTTCTTGTATACTCTGGAACTTACAAACTGTGTGTTTCTAAGTTTGGTCTGATACAAAGGGAAAATATATAAAAACAAATATAATGTTAATAATGTAAGATGCAGAAAACAAACAATTAAAGAAAGGGTGTTACATTACCTGGGATGTGCATAAGAGTCATGAGAATAAGTTATATTTTATAATTGGGGAATTATAGAAAGTGAATTATTAAGCACACCATCAAACAATCTTCTAATACCAAATTATGTAATTTATCTGAACAATAAAGCATTCTTTTGTGAATCATTAGGCTAGAAAGTTAAAGAAGTGTTTAATTGAGGGAGATCTGAGTAGTTGGGCATTAGAGTCAAAGGTTCATTATAACATAATTTATTATGATGATACTGACGATGTTGAGGATGAAGTCACATAGCCAGAAACCCACAAAAGTTTGCAAAATATGTTAATAATACAAAGGGATTCACTGGAGTTAGCATAAATGTTAGAAAAAAATCCAGGGATGTTTAGACAGGGAGAAAAGTTACTTACCTTTCAAGACAGGCCTAAATGAGGATAGATCTGAGAATAAACGCCAAATCTGTTTCTTCCCAAGGATGCCTCTTTTTCCTTTGCATGGAATCCAGACCCAGGTCCGACTTCAAGGGTCCTTGGATACACAAAGTTAACTGTCAAAACTCCTTTTCTCTTTTCTGAAGCTCTCAAAAGAAACAGGGTGACAGGTACTTCTGTTGGGCCATATAAACATCTCAGGGAAGGAGCAAAGTTTTACAATCAGCCCTTGAGTTTGTGGACAACAATTGATTGATATTTTTATCAAGGTCTATACAGGTGGACCTTCGTTTACAATGGTACCACTTACGATTTTCTACTTTATGATGGCACAAAAGTGGTAAGCATACAGTAGAAAGTGTACTTTGAATTTTTTCTTTTCCTGGGCTAGTGATAGGCAGCAGGATACATACACTCTTTTAAGACGCTGGGTAGTGGCAGTGAGTGATCATAATGGGAAACAACCCATGCTCCACAGTGTACAGTGTTGATAAGGTATGATCTTTGGTAGGTTAGGTGCATTTAATGCATTTTTGACAAGATATTTTCAGCTTACAATGGTTTATTAGTAAATAACCCCACAGTAATTTGAGGAGCATCTGTCTAAGAGACCTCAATCACCTCCAGCTACCCAGACCTTCACTTGTTTTACCCAGCCAGAAAAGTTCAACAGGTGAATTTTATACATTAGTTACTTTTGCTGCAGGGTGGCTGAAATCAGTGGGTTATAAACTTCATGAAGAGATTTCAGAGAGGGGGTACAGCCAAGTGAAGGAAAAGGGAGTTGTTGGGACTCTCAAGGGTGCAATTAAGGTTTTTATCCTAGATGTTATTTTGATGTCTTCTGCCTTCCCTGGGGCTGGCTTATGATACCCTCAAGAGTGCTTGGTGCAGTAGCCTTTCTTCCCTCTGCAGTGTTCATGTAGTTTAGGGTAAATTGGACCCCAGAGCAAAGGCAGGAAGAATGTTCTAAAAGGCAATTATGAGACATCTGAATTCTAGAGAACTGTTTATTTTCAGGAAAATCTTTTCATTGTGAAATGTAGAGTTCATAGTGTCCATCGTTTATACTCTTTCCACACATTTAAACATCTGTAAATTTTTTGCTTTCAATTTTTATTATTAAACTATTTGTGTTTTATTTGTCTTACCTGTTATTTGGTCTTATTCCTTCTTTTTTGTCTGTTTTATATGTATTTTTTAGCTGTAGGTGGACACAATATCTTTATTTTATTTTTATGTGGTGCTGAGGATCAAATCCAGTAGCCATATGTGCTAGGTGAGTGCTCCACCACTAGCCACAACCCCAGACCCTCTTTTCTTTTTTTGTATTATTCAAATATTTTCATTATTGTGTTTTCCTCTATTAGCTCTTTTTGTTGATTCTAAAATATTTTTAGTTTTTGCAAAGTATAACCACAATATAATATATGGTAATATAAAAATACCACTTTAATCATTTCTGAGTGTGCAGTTCAGTAACATTAAGAGTATTCACATTGCTATGCAACCATCACCACTGTCCATCTCCGGAAATTTTTCATGATTCCAAACTGAAATTCTGTA